AGGCTGCGGTGGCCGGGAGTGGCCACTGCACTCCAGTCTGGGCGACAGAGTGAGACTCCAACTCAAAAAAATAAAAATAAAAAAATAAAAAATTAGCTGGATGTGGTAGCGCATGCCTGTAGTTCTGGCTATTTGGAAGGCTGAGGCAGAAGGATTGCCTAAGCCTAACTGGTCAAGGTTGCAGTGGCCGTGAGTGTGCCACTGTCCTCTCACCTGGGCGATGGAGTGTGACTCCAACACACACAAAAATTAGAGATGGGGGCTAGGTGCGGTGGCTCACGCCTGTAATCTCAGCACTTTGGGAGGCTGAGGCGAGAGAATTTCCTGAGCCCAGGGGTTCAAGAACAGCCTGAGCAACTTGGTGAGACCTTGTCTGTACAACAAATAAAAAAAAATTTAGCTGTGTGTGGTGACAGAGCCCAGCAGGTCGACACGGGAGTGCCCACAACCGTGCCCCTGCACTCCAGTCTGGGTGACAGAGTGAGACTCTGACTCAAAAAAGCAAACCAAAAATCCTGACCGTTCAAGGGTCATGAATACAAGGCTATTTCTCTTCCATGGCTTGGTTCGCACCTAGAACAACTTGGAGCAAAATCATTATGTGAACCAAGTATCTTTTTTTTTTTATGAGTTGGAGTCTCACTCTGTTGCCCAGACTGGAGGGCAGTGGTCGCTCCTGGCCACCGCAGCCTCAACCTGCTGGGCTCCGGTGATTCCTCCGCCTCAGCCGTCCAAGTAGCCAGAACTACAGGCGCGTGCTACCACGCCTGCCTAGTTCTTTTGATTTCTTATACAGACAAGGTCTCACCAAGTTGCCTGGGCGGGTCTCGAACCTGCGGGCTCAGGCAAATCCCCTCACCTTGGCCTCCCAAAGTACTGGGATTATAGGCTTGAGCCACTGAGCCCAGCCCCAAGTATCTTTTCAAAAACTGTTTTCAGTCCACCATTTGTACTGTTGGGGAATTCTCTGGAGTGTTTCTGCCCTCTCCTTTTCTGCCACGTCCAATGCTTTCAGTACAGTGGGTGGCAGACTTCAGGACCCCAGAATGAATGAGGCCTGGAGTGGAGGCAGGGACGCTCGCTGTCCTCAATGCACCGCAGTTGGAATTCTCCCAGTGTCCAGGCTTTGGGCGTGAATGGACGTGTAGCCCTGGGGGTATACAGGGGTGGGGTGGTAAGTGTGGACTCCTGGCATTCAACTGAGAGCCACAGGCCCTGGGGTGGAGCTCCCAGCCCTCGCCCCGCGCCCACCTCCTGGGGTCCTTCCTGAAGGAGTGCAGCCGCCGTGCCCCAGCCTGGAGTCTGGGCTGCTTGGGCCTGACCGGTGGGTATGTCTCTCCAGGACACCATCACGCAGCTGGAGAGTGACCTGAGGGGCACCAAGAGCGAGATGGCGCGTCACCTCCGGGAGTACCAGGACCTGCTCAATGTCAAGATGGCCCTCGACATCGAGATCGCTGCCTACAGGTGCCCGGCTGGGGGCTCTGCCCAGGGAGGGGCGGGGGGCCCTGGGGGAGGAGCTGAGCCCACCATGCTAAGGGACTGTCCCAGACACCTGGAGCTGGACGCCATGCGTCCTCACTCACCAACAGGCTCTAAACGTGGCACATGGGCGGGAATAAAGCACCAGCGCCGCTGAGGGCGGGGGGGTCACATGGCCCCATGTCCACGAGCAGAGGTGGCCGGCAGCCCAGACCTCACCTGCACACAACTTACGTGTGTAGCAAACCTTCACATGTCCCATGGCTCTGAAGTGAAAAACAATTCTCACTCACAAGCGGACCCTGAATATCTACCCCAATACTACAAGAGAGAAACAGCTGCAGTGGGGGGTGGGGAACAACATATCCATAAGGGAACCTGACCTCAAGTGGGGCAAAGTGGGGACCAAAGGGAAGCCCAGACTTGACTGGTATACCTAATCCTGAATCGTGCACCACATCTCTAAAACAGAGTATTAAAAAAAAATTGAAGCTGGGCTCGGTGGCTCAACCTGTAATCCCGCACCTTTGGGAGGCTGAGGTGAGTGGACTGCCTGAGCCCGTGGGTTCGAGACCCGCCTGGGCAGCGAGACCTCATCTCTACAATAAATCAAAAATCAGCCAGGCGTGATAGTGCACGCCTGTAATTCCAGCTACTCGGAAGGCTGAGGCGGAAGGATCTCCGGAGCCCGGCAGGTCGAGGCTGCGGAGGCCGGGAGCGGCCACTGCACTCCAGTCTGGGCGACAGAGTGAGACTCCGACTCAAAAAAAACCCAATAACAAAAAACTGAAAAATAGAATAACTTAACAGCAGGGTTGACGCAACCTAGGGAGTCCTGGTGGGTGAGATGTGCCCTGCAGGTTCACCCACCTAGCAGCATCTATGAGAACATTTACCTTGAAAAAGTGTTTTGGGAGGCCGAGGCGAGTGGACTGCCTGAGCCCGTGGGTGTGAGACCAACTTGGCGAGCCCTCATCTCTACCAAAAAAAATAAAAACTGTAATGGCAGCTGCTTTTTAAATGGACACATTGTAATTATACATATTTATGGGGCAGCTCCTACATTTTATTTATTTACTTATTTTTTATTTTTATTTTTTTGAGTCGAGTCTCACTCTGTCACCCGGGCTGGAGGGCAGGGGCACGCTCATGGCCACCGCAGCCTCCACCTATTGGACATAGGCGATCCTTCCACCTCAGCCTTCCAAGTAGCTGGAACTACAGATGCACGCTACCACGCCCAGCTAATTTTTTTTTTTTGTGATTTATTGTAGAGACAGGGATCCCCAAGTTGCTCGGGCTGGTCTCAATCCCCTGGGCTCAGGCGATCCTCTTGCCTTGGCCTCCCGAAGTGCTGGGATTGCAGGCTGAGCCACCATGCCCGGTCTCTACTTTTTTTTTTGAGTCGAGGTCTCACCTGTCACCCAGGCTGGAGAGCAGTGGTGTGGCCTGGCACACTGTAGCCTCTGCCTCCTGGGCTCCAGCAATCTTCCTGCCTTAGCCTCGCCAGGTGCCTGGATTATAGGTGTATGCCACCACACCCGGCCAAATTGCTGTTTTGTAACTGATGACTGTGCCAGACACTGGCTGACAGGTTGTGTTGTTCCCTGCTGCAGATGAGGGAACAGCCACAGCCTGGATGATGAGCTCCAAGTCTCAGCGCTGGGGTGGCAGAGCTCAGATTCAACTCAGATCAGTCTGGAAGTTTTCTTTTTTTCTTTACACTATGTAAGCTACTTCAAAACAGCCCCAAGAGTGTGGGATCCTGTCATGAACTTCTCATCTTTAAGGAAATGATGATAAAAACTATTAGCAGGCCTGGCGTGGTGGCTCACGCCTATATTCCCAGCACTTTGGGAGGCCAAGGTGAGAGGATTGCTTGAACCCACAGGTTTGAGACCAGTCTAGGCAACTTGGTGAGACAGCTCTATAAGAAGTCAAAAAATTGACCGGGCATGGTGGTGCGTTCCTGTAGATCCAGCCGTTTGGAAGGATTGCCTGAACCCAGCAGGTTGAGGCTGTGGCGGCCGTGAGCATGCCCTTGCACTCCAGCCTGGGTGACAGAATGGAACTCCAACTCGAAAACAGAAAAAAAAATCGGCGTTCTGAGCCGCCAGACCTGGGCCTGCTCGCCTGTCCTGCATTGGGGCTGAGAAGGACCTGGTGTCTGGAGTCGTGCTGTTTGCTGGCTCTGTTGCTGGCTCCCTCCCTGTGGACCCTCACGCTGGGAGAAGCGCGGACCTCAGGGACCTCACCTTCAGACCGGGCTGGCGGCTCTCCCTCCCCGTGGCCTTCCCACCGCTCTGGCCCCTGCCCCTGAGGCGCCCCTTGGGAGACGCACTTCTCTCTGGCGCGGCAGACTCATCTCCAGGACGGGGGACCGGCCAAGCGGAGGTGCGGACTTTCCTTCTGGGGTGTCTTGTGAGTAGGATGGGCTTCCCTTTGACGGTGCTGTATTTATTTATTTTATTTTTTCATTTTTTGAGTTGGAGTCTCACTCCTTTGCCCAGAGTGAAGCGCAGTGGCACACAGACTCACGGCTACCCCAGCATTGACGTTCTAGGCTCTGACAATCCTCCCGCCTCAGCCTTCCAAGTAGTCGAAACTACAGGCGCGCACTACCATGCCTGGCTGTTTTTTATTTTATTGTACAGATGAGGTCTTGCCAAGTTGCCTGGACTGGTCTCAGACCTGTGGGCTCGGGCAGTCCACTCACCTCGGTCTCCCAAAGTGCTGGGATTACAGGCTGAGCCACTGAGCCCGGCCTATTTTAGAGGCAGGGCCTTGCTATGTTGCCCAGGCTGGTTTCAAACTCCTGGCCTCGCCGGGCTCGGTGGCTCAGCCTATAATCCCGCACTTTGGGAGGCCGAGGTGAGTGGATTG